AATACAATGAATTTTCTGAAGGAAAATAATTAGATTCACGAGATTAGCATTCTTTTCGCGTCACAGTACTTGCAGAATATCTTTAGATTAGTTTCATTAGCGCTTTTGTCTATATTGAAGTTTCGTGCTCTGTGGACCCAAAGGTAAGATAAGGTAAGTGATTATATTAGACGATTATCCTAAGAATTGTTAACAATGATTTCATGTATCTTTTGTATCTTTCTCCTTTGATTGGTAAGAATATAGAAATTCCGTCCAGATTATGAACGAACGATAACACATGAAAAGCCGTAGTCGTTTTTGCGTTCCGTTCTCTGTCTGATTTCCAAATATCCAAAACAAAAATAGTGACAGCGCATTTTGTTTAGATGTGTAATATGGCTCTTGCTTATCTGTCCTCCTATATCGTTAAAACACAAGTATATAATAATTATAACAAAATATAACACATTATGTACATACAGTATATCTAAGCTAAAAATAAGTTATCATAAATACAGTAATTAGGTGATAATATAGACAAGAATCTGAAATAGACAACGAATTCGGGGAACTGGAAAAGTTTAGTTAAGCGTTTCGAAGCTTATGGGAAAAATCTTGCGAAATTTTAATTTATTTTTTCAAAACATTTAACATATTTTATATTTCACCATGAATTTGTCAGTTTATAATTAGCCAACGACCAAATTATACGAAATATCTAAACACAATCTCAAAACCCATTTCACCGCTCCGTCTGTGAAATGAAGATAGCTTTGGTACGATATAATCTGTTGAACGAGAGCCAACTTCGTACGTCTGAATCAACAGATTATAAAAGATGTTATACGCACAGAACTGTTTGTTTAGTTTCAACATCTTCATACATAAATCTTGCTGGCTGTATTGATAAAGTACACATGAATGAAAATACCAAATACCAATCCAAAGTCAACTTATACTCTACGCAAATGTCAATATTCCAATAAAACAAAGTTAAAAAGGGTTAAAATATTACTTTGCTTTGGATGTATCTTAGCGGTTACGAGAAACTAAACATTATATTTGTTTAATTTAACAATTAAAATTGCTACGTTTATTCATTAACTAAATTTATATTCTGTAGAATCATTCTCTGGCGTCAAAAGAATACTTATGAAACTTTACTAAATCTTAAGCCATCAACTATCACGTGATTTTTTTAATTAATTAATTTATTTGAATACTTAATAATACAAAATTACTTAAATAAACAGGGATTAAGACCTTATAGATTGCTTAAACAGAAGTACAACGAGTTAATAAATCCATGTGAGAAAAAAAAGAAATAAAGATTTTAAAATTAGCTGACTTTGTATAAGCGATTCCAACAAAGATCAACGTCACAAAATTATTGGTTGTAAAATTCGCAAAACTTTGTTATTTTAGTTAGTAAATGTTTAATAATAATAAATAATATATCGAATGAAATATTTACAATGTTGTTGACAGTCGTACGCCCTCCAAACAATTTCACACAACCCCTGCCTTAATGCCGCGTCATTCCCCGAGGAAATATAAATACAGTATTGAAATCTCTAATATGTATCGAAGTCCCGGGACACACCAAAACAAATATAGTATGACCTCCCTTCCTCTAGCCAGCCTCTATAATTTGTCGGCAAAAGCATCCTCGCAGGGTTCTAGGAATATTGGTCGCTTCTAAACGTTCGATACGCGAGCTACTTATGACTATGAATATTTATAACTTATTAGTAAACGCGCTTCTGGTGAGGCTGTTGGGGAAAAATGGTATCGCTTTAGTTTATACTAAGACTGTTGATTGGGTCGTTCGTGTTATAGGCTATTGTGTGCGTTATCTTTTGTCAGAGCAAATTTCAAAAACAGAAGTGTCTTATTTGAGTATGAGTTTCGGCCAAGATTACTTTGATAATTACTACATTTTCAAATTTATTTTATATTTAACTAACGGTACCAACTACTTCGCCCGCGTAGAATAGTTTCGGCATTACAATTTGTTTTTGCCTCTTCATATTTATAAATAATAGCTGTTACCCACGACGTCGGTCGCGTCTCATCGTTCTTGCAAGTTAAACTTAAAAGATACACATTTTTTTAGATGATTTAAAGAGGAATCATTCTTTTATACATAATTTTTGAGTACCTTGAGTCGTTTTTGCAGCGTACTCAACGGAAACCCTCAAAAATATTTCTCGTTCGTTCTTGTCTCGTGCATCGTGATTTTTTTGCTTGAATCCTTTCTCGATAAATGTTCTAGCCAACACAAAAAGATTTTTTCAATTCGAAAAGTGTAGTAGCTGAGATTAGCGTGTTTAAATCTTATATTGTGGATGGTGGTGGGGGGTTTTTTTTTTTCCTGGGGGATTTTTTGGGAATTTTTTCCTCCCCTTTTATTTTAAAAAAGGGGGGGGAACTCCGGGCTTTACCCCCAAACCACTGAACTGATTTAAATGAAAATTGGTACACAGCTATTTTAGAGCCTGAGAAAGGACATTGGCTACTTTTTAATGCCAAAAATTTGTTCATAGGGGTTCAAAAACGGGATGAAATTTTATATGGAAATTCGTGGTTTTTTACGTGAGGGGAGAGTGTTGCGGCAAAGTAGCACTTACAACATAGATTGGCTGCCTTAAAGGCCCTTACATAAATTAATAAACAGCCTAAATAATTAAAAATTCTACTCCAAGTCACTATTTCACGCGGGCGAAGACACTAAATATATAATAGTTTATAATTATTCAATTCACCCTAAAAATGTATATGTGTAGATTTAAATAAGGTATTTATTATAATACTTCAGTTTTTCTTGTACGTTATTGTGTATTCATTATTCATTTCCTGGTTTTTAAATATTTATTCCGAGATAAGCTATCGAAGGCGGATGTGCATACGGAGACTGTTTAGACTTCAATTTATATTCAAATGATATTTCTTCTTGAGGACATACCGTTGGTTAAATTAAACCACGTTTTTAAAATACCATGATCGAATCTGAGCTTTATAGTTCGAGTTACAAAGCATTGAATTTACCATAATAATCCTGGGTACGTACGATTTTGGAAAAACGAAATATTATTTCGGTCGGGCACGGCACAGACGTCTGAACGAATGCATATAAATAATGTCAACCTAAAGGACACAGAAATGTATTAAAATGTTCCCAGGAGGAAACTTTTATAAGGACAAAAATCTTTGTTTAATTTTTTATGAAACATCTAAAAGTCAATCAAAGTGCAGAGAATAAGGTTTGAAAGAAAAGCATAAGAAAATAAGAAATTTAAACAAACAAACAAATATTGATTTAATCTGTTTCTAACTAATTATTAAAATATAAACATATTTTAATCCAGTTTCGCCAAATACCAACTTCGACGGAACACTAGCGTAGCAATTTTTTTACTTTGACGTCAGAGACATCGTCCATCTTTAGTCTCCCCGTGAGTCCACGGCTGCTGCAAAGCATCCGAAACGTCGGGCCGAAGTTAAAAATCATTTTCAAATAAGTTTAATATATCGCGTTTTAAACCGTTAAAGTGTTTTATTTAAATAAACATATCTTTATAATTTTAATCTCAAAGGCTAATCTCAGGTACCACTAGTTCGAATTCGAAAATTATTAATAATGTTTTCCTAACAACAGGTCGCAGCGTGATGTTTTTAGACTAAAGCCTTCCTACATAAACGATCTAACCAATACAATAATGATTTTTCAATTCGAACCTGTAGTTCACGAGATAAGCGTGTCTTTGTCTGACAAACAAATACTTCAGTTTTATAATATTAGAATAGATGTCATCTATACTAGCGAGGGGAAGTACCGTAGACATTACTGTATTATAAATTAATTATGACTGGAGATTACACTTATTAAACGGCCGTGACAATTATCGTTATCTGTTATTATCGTTAATGATGGTTATAAATTAATTAGGTAGATATAATGATGATTTTAAATAGTATTGAAGTACGGTGTATCCTATTTGACAGTATTCAATTTTAAAGTTGATATAAGTACATAGTAAAACCATACAGTAGTTATATATATGTACATACTATATGTTGTAGTCAGTTTTCTATAGTCAAGTTTATTATTTCATTTCTCAGGCTTTGAAAGTGAAATGAACTTGCATCTTAAACTTTGTCCAGAAATCCAGCAACAAATAAGTTTAATGCTGTCTGTAATTTACGCGGGTAGTACACATTTAAATAATATTTTTAACGGTTTAAAACACGATATATATTACTTAAACTTATTTGAAAATAATTTTAATTACGGCCCGATGTTTTGAATGCTTTGCAGCAGCCGTGGTCACGGGGAGACTAAAGATGGAGAGTGTCTGATGTCAAAGTAAAAACTGCTACGCTAGCGCCATCTGTTCCGTTGTATTTGGTTTTAGGAGAAACTGGTCCTTGTTGAATTGGCAATCAGAAACAACAACAAACACAACAAGTTAGTCTTTTAAAGTTTCACTAATGGTCTGTAATATTTATTTTTATTTTTAATCACTTCATTGCAGTTTTATGAATAAAAAACATTAAGTATTTTAATGTTCACTCAGTCTTTATTGCACAATATTTAAATATAATTAATTATAAATTCATCAACTTCGAATAATTAGTAATGCTACGATTAAATGATAACATATCAGTTTCAAGTTGTGAGAATAATTAAAAGATGAATAATGATAAATATTCAAATATAATATATTACACTAAACATGCGTTTTATATATAAAAATAGATTGCTACATTCGTTATCTTTTTACGATTGTTAGAACAATAAACACAAAGAGCTAGTTTGGAGTGTTTTCTGCTACATCGTACGATTATTGATCCCTTCACCATTCTTCCACTAGTTAATCGTTTCCTCTGTAATTCTTTTATTTGAGATCTCAAAAGTTAAGTTACAACTAAACTTACGAAAATTAAATATTTCCGAATATACTAAATGTTTTGTTGTTTGTCTGCTGTGTGATTTCATACTTTATATTTCTAGGATGTTAAACTATTGTTTGATTGTTTTGTCCACCTTCACCAGCTTCGTCACCACCTCCGCCATCATTTCCATTTCCCGCACCATTTTCGGTACCATTATTATTTCCACCACCATTACCGTTATTGTTGTCATCACCTCCACCATTGCCGCCATTATTACCACCACCCATCACCACCATTATTTTCATCACCTCCATTGCCACCATTATTATTACCTCCATCACCATTTTCGGTACCGTTATTATTTCCACCATTTCCACCATCGCCGTTTCCAGCGTTATCTCCACCGTCTCCACCATCACCGTTTCCAGCATTATTTCCACCATCTCCAGTGTCGTTCTTAGGTGGCTCAGTAGGTGGCTCAGTAGGTGGTAGTGTTGTTGATGTTAAACTATTCTTAAGATCGCTTAATTCACTGTTCAGTCTATTCCTCTGTCCGGCCATAGCTAACGTTGATACAAAAAGGCAAAAAGAAAGAAGAGATAGGAACACTATTATTTTGTTATCCATGATCCATGCTTTTGTTCTCTCCCAGTAATAGTGTGACGTCATTTTTGAACAGTTGTAACGTCTATCCGGGTATAATATTTTGTTGATAATGACTTATCTACAATGTATTATCGATTTTCAACATTAGGAGACTTTTGAATCGTATATTTAACGATATCAGCCGATAGTGAATCCTTGTCTGTTATCATATTGATATTAGGGCCGTTGATTGATAAGACTGTTTAAAGTCTCCTATATTAGAATACATTATATTCTGTTTCGTATCAATCAAAATGAATGAAGTTAAAATCAATGTGATCTTTGTAAGATATGTATAGTGTATATTTTGGTAAATATTTAGCATTTGTTTGGTAGGAGAAATACTTATATACGTAATATGTATATATACGTAAAATCTATACTCAATATTACAAAAGTGAACAGTTTGTTGGAACGCACTAATTTACTTGTTTAAATTGAACATTTATCAGGAAAGATTGTAAGCCTATAAAACAGCCTGCGACCAATAGGAGTAAAGAAAAGGTGAAAAGAAACGGGAAAATGATCCATCTTTGACGATTTTCATTGCGTGCTCTGCGTGTCTCTATATCCGAAAATATATATAAAACAATCATTATTACTTATAAATAAATGCCCGCGATAGTATATATCTATCTTTTAAGATTAACTCACTCAATTTCTGGTAGTAATACTTTATATGTCAAAAGAACGTTTGCCAGGTCAGCTATTGGTTAATTAAAACATAGTGGGCTTCAATGTAATTCTAGATTCGTCGGAGACTACGTCGAGGCAAACAAAATGGGCTGTCGCGCACACAAGCCGGCTTGTCTGAATGTTCCTATCTGCAGAAGTAATTCCTTACCTCGAACGGACGACCCAAATGCATTTGTCTTGCCGCTTTTAGTTCGTACAGTCTAGGCATACAAAACTAAGGGTATATAATCAATTTAGAATTACGTAAAATAAATAATGTAAGTGAATTTCCTTATAGCGAACGGCGGATTGGGCGAAACATTATAATGTACATTTCATTATTTTAGTCTATTTCATATACTAATAAATAAATTTGGCTAATGACTTTGTCATCATAAAATAAATTCGCTTTGTAATATGATAGTTTTTGAGGAAATATTGGTTTAACCAAAAAATATATATTATGCCCACATACCATGGTTAGAAGATCTGAGTTGCTATTTGCTTCGTTAACTACTTTCGGAGGATCATCTTCATAGTGTAACGTTAATAACAAGATAAAATGTACATATATCTTTTCCTGTTGTAGTCTACTTGTCTTTTATTACCCACTATTATTTCATTGTGATTATATTATGATACTAGCTGTGCTTGCGACTTCGTCCGTGTAGAATAATTATTTCCCGATCTTTTCTCTCTGTTTCTTTTATCCTATTGCAGTCTGATGGTATAAGACTTCCTAGATGAGATCTACCAACACAAAAATATTTTTTTCAATTTGACATTACCGCGTTTAAGAAAACAAACGCACATTTTTTTATTACACCACAAGTTTATAAACAATATGCTCCAAAATACCGGCCCAAAAAAGTGAATAAAAAACATTAGTCCAAATAGAATGCCGTGGGACAATGTAGCACTGTTTCAGCCCCTCCTCTTGTATGTATATGATAAATTTAGACCGTTCTATATAACATATTATATAATAGTGTGTGAATAATATATTATGCTGAGTAATAGACAATTAGGTAACCGCAGAGAGAATGGAATTAGGTTGCACTATCATACAATATTAATGTGAGTAAATTGTAAATTTATTAACAAACAAACACACAAATATTCTCGAGTCTACGTTTCTGTAGTTTACGCGAGTAGTACACCTTTAAATAAAACACTATAGCGATTTAAAACGCGATATATATTCGTTAAAGTTATTTGAAGATTATATCAAACCCGGACGTGGTCAATGGGAGACGTGTTAGTTATTTAAAATCTACAAATAAGTTTAACTAATACTTATCGCGTTTTAAACTGTTAAAGTGTTTTATTTGAATGTATACTACTCGCGTAAACTACAGACTGCATATAAGTAATCAACATTAAGGGGCGTAGAGTCCCATCGATAAATTTATTTGCCGACGACACATGAAATCAGGTGTGACGCGAGTACGTTCTTGATTTCCCAAAGGCGTTCTGCTTCGATAGAAATTTGATTTCGTTTTATATGTCTGTTTGCTTTTTAAGTTTTATGTGTTTTGTGATCGTTTTATAGCTCAGGCAGTTATGAACGCACAAAAGAGAAATGTTATGATCGGATGTATATTTATATTGTTATGACGACAAAACATTAGCTTTTCAGTTCGGTCAATGTATTAACAATTAGATTTATTCCGAATTGGCGATTGATTGTTTGATTTAAAGACGTATTTTTTATAATGAAAAACCTCTTAAACATAAAAAAATTCTTTAATGCATTTTTTTAATATCCATATTTCCAGGCGACGTCCGACATGTTCTAAAGAATTACTATAATGAAAAAAAAAAAAAAAAAAACAAAAAAAAAAAAACAAAAAAAAAAAAAAAAACGGGGGGGGGGAACCCCCCCCCCAAAAAAAAAAAAAAAAAAAAAAAAAAAAAAAAAAAAAAAAAAAAAACCCCGGGAAAAAAAAAAAAAAAAAAGGGGGGAAAAAAAAAAAACCCCCCCCCCCCCCCACCCCCCCCCCCCCCCAAAAAAAAAACCCCCCCCTTTTTTTGGGGTTTGGTTTTTCCCCCCGAGCATTTCCGAAAATCCAAAGCCAAAAAATTTCCTATTTCACCGCCTATCAAGTCCCACCTTGTCTGTCATCCTATATCATATAAAAAAAGTCCAAGACGAATTAACATTCGAAACTAAAAACTTGTACTCTCAAGTCGAGAGTACTAACGTGGCAATCTCAACATATGACTTTAGCAACACTGTATCTATCTATACTAATATATAAAGAAGGAGTTTGTTTGTTTGCGCGCTCATCTTAGGAACTTTTGGTTCGAATGGAACATTTTTTTTTTGTTGGTTAGGCTTTATCGAGGAAAACTATAGGCTAAAACATCGCTCTGTAACTAATATAGCAAACGGATAAAAATGATACATCTTTGTGAGTTTCCGACGTTTACGCGAAAACCTTTATTTGCCTACACAATGTACAAGATATTCATCTTATATTAGAAACTTATTCTAAAAATAACTTAAGTATGTACCTTTTTAAATATCTTCACATGTCACGTGGGACTTTATGTCTCTATGAAAATTAATCGCAAGTAGATGGGAGCGTCCAATGTCGTACGTCAAGCAATCGAATTTATAAAGTAAGAGGAGATTGACAAAAACAAATTTGAATGCCCAAAATAACCATTCGACGCGGACGAAGTCGCTGACACAGCTAGTTAATAATATAAGTGCTAAGGCTTTATATAAACCATCATAACCATGTACGTACTATTAGGGTGCAAAGTGAGTGGATTCTTGCAGAGTGTAATCTCATTTGCGCTTGAAATGAGATGACGCTTACGTCCAAACTCACTAGGCCCTGTTGCTAAATTGACTCAATTTATTACGCAATCTGACCTTGTAGCATCTTATAAAATATTTCATAATCTTTTACGCAAAGCAGAGGTATAAAATCTCTCAATCAATATTAAATCCATTTTTAAACTTATTTAATATACTAAAAAATTGTTATTAAATAGATAATAAATACAGTAATGACCAACTGCATTTTCAATGGTTTAAAACATGATAAACTAGTGAACTTATTATGCTTTGCAGCAGCCATGGTCACGCCAGGACTATAGATGAAGGTGTCACTAATGTCAAAGTCAAATCTGCCACGCTAACGCCATCTGCTTCGTCGTAATTGATATTTTAAGTAATCAGTTTTAGAAAGGTACTTACGGTGTTCTTTTATTGGTGTTCCGTTTTGGGCACCGTAAACTGACAACATTAATAAATTTCGTCCATAAGTTAAAAATAAGGTGGCAGCACACCATAGATATTTTTTTTAAAATGAAAGGAAAATTTTTCCACGTGGCTCAGTGGCCGAGCTTACAGGGGCTTCTGGGTACATGAAATACATGTAACGAGAGCCCCGTTGAAACTTGTTTTGACATAATAGCTAGAACTTCGGCAGTTAGCGCGCCTAGACATTTTCTGTGTGGCCTAAGATATAGGCTTTACAATTTGTACTTTCAGTACAATATTGCAGTATAGTATTACTCACTAAATTAAATACTGATAAAATTATTTTTTAAAGATATTATTTACACGAAGGTCGTGTCAAATGCAATCTACTATTGTTATAAGTTAATAGATATTATTATATTAGTTTACTGCGGTAAGTTCATTCTATTGCAATACACGAAATTCCAGTATCGATTCCTAGGTCAAGCGACAAGGTTACTTTGGTATTAGATTTTTTTCGCACCAGTATCATAATGCAAACTACAATATTGTATATTAATTGTTGTTACTCTTGTATAATTTCGGTTTTTATCTACCTTACCTATCTATACAGCTATGGAATTAAAGTAAGCGTTTTTTGTCGTTATGTTTGTATTTATGCTTGTTTCAAATGTTTGACCTTATACAATTATGAGACAAATATTTCTTGCTATATAAAAATATATTATGTGTCCAAATATGGAGGCTAACAAAATCGCTATAGCCTGTCACTTGGTGCAATAAATTTGGCTCTACCTGGCCCGTTTGGTGGATATAACGGGTGCTCCCACTTAGTGTGGTCCTACCCTAATGACCAAAGTTTCCCTAACTTCACATGCGTAATTACCCTAACATTTATGATACAATATTGTTATGTGGCGAACGTGATCGTATTAGAGCTTATCGATTTGTGCTTTGATGACATTTGAAGGCATAGCATCGCCCATATTATCTACTAAGATCACTATTGGAGACATATACTCACTTCCGCTCATGGGTAGTAATCTAGTTCTAGTTCTACTCGTTTCGTCCACCAACAGCGAAGCGATCTCATTCAAAGGATAGTTTTGAAATAGACTGCCTTAAATTTACT